ATAATAAAAATTACCCCCCACCATTGCTTGAGCTGCCCACCCCCAAAAATGCTCTAGAACCCCTTCATGGGCTTCCTGTGTGTGTGTGGGGGGGTCCTGCTCCTCTCCCCCCACCCCTGGGGGCCCATTATTATTTGGATCATAGTATTGGGATTGTATTAAATCAAAATATCCCAATAAATCAGGATAATTTGGGGATGAGGAGGGCAATTCCCGCTCAGCCCAGGGAGGTGCAGGGTACCCGGCCCCCCAGGATGGGGTCTGTGCAGCCCTGTGGGACCCCCCACCCTGAGACCCCCCCCGTGTCCTGCCCTTGGAACCGGACGGGGGTTTTCCCTCCGTATTTAACATTTTTGGGGGTACTGGTGGCTGTTCTGGGTCGGGGGGAGCTGCTGGTGCCAAATCCCAGCCTGGCTCCTTACCGGGAGGAACCGGAGCTGTGGGAGGAACCGGGGGGGGGACCCGCCTGCCCGCGCCGGGGAGTTTCGGGGAGGGGACGAGGTGTCATCCCCAACGCGGCCCCAGTATCTGGTACTTTGGTCTCCCCGGTTGTAAAAGTGTTTGAGCAGGGTTGGGGCAGGGAAGGGCTGGGACAGGACGGGTGCAGGGTTGGGGTGCCACGCTCCCCCAGCACCCACGATGCTGGGCTGGGGAGACCCCCAAGGGGGTCAAGTTGGGGGGGGGCAGCGAGAACCTTCAAAACAAGGTCCCCTGGTCCCCAGTTTGGGCTGGGATCCCGCCTGGCACCCGGGCTGGGACTGGTGCTGCCGGTTCCCATCCGGCCGGGCTGGCCGTGCCGCATTCCTGTGCCCTGAGCCGGGGTGGTGGAAAGGGGGGGGGGAACCCGTGTCACTCCTGCTCCACGAAAAAGCCAAGCGTGGCCTAATCTGTCCTCACCCGGCCCCGATTTCGGGGTGGCGCGGAGCAAGATCTGGAAATACGGAAAACCCAACATCTACTGGGACAAGCCGCCCGTGGTCCACGAGGGTCCCAACGTGGAGGAGTGGGTGAGTTTGGGGGGTGAGGGGCTGGGGTGGGAAAGGGGGGGGGGTCTTTCCCTGCCTCCCCCCACGCCCTCTCCCTCCCTGCCCTTCATCAGTGGGGCTGAACCGGGGTCGGGATGTGTGGGGGTGAACATGGGGGTCCCTGGGGCTTCTCCCAGCACCGGGGCTGTGCCAAACCTTGGTGCCACCGGCCTATTTTTGCCAGGTTTGTGCCACCCCCCCCCAACTCCCCCCCCGGTGCTTGGTCCCGGGGTGTTTGGGTGCTGTGTTATCACTGAGGGTGCCACGTTGTGCCTGGTCCTTGCTGGGTCCCTCCCCATCACCCCGGTTTTTTTTAGGGGTTATGGCTTTTTGCATTCTGGGGGGAGTGGGAATTTTCCCATTCCCTGGGGGGGCTGGGTTGGGTGAACCTCTCCCCCCAAAAGCTCTCAAGCCCCTTCATGGGCTGCAGGTCGTGGAAAGTGGCCCGTGGCTGCTGGAGGATCCACCTTCCTGCTGCTCCCCTGAGCCCCAAATTCATCCTGTCCCCATGGGGGAAAAAAATAAAATAAAAAAAATCACTCCCCACTATTGCTTGAGCTGCCCCCCCCCTCCCCAAAAGCTCTCAAACCCCTTCATGGGCTTCCTGTGTGTGTGGGGGGGGGTCCTGCTCCTCTCCCCCCACCCCTGGGGGCCCATTATTATTTGGATCATAGTATTGGGATTGTATTAAATCAAAATATCCCAATAAATCAGGATAATTTGGGGATGAGGAGGGCAATTCCCGCTCAGCCCAGGGAGGTGCAGGGTACCCGGCCCCCCAGGATGGGGTCTGTGCAGCCCTGTGGGACCCCCCACCCTGAGACCCCCCC